CACCAGCCACGTGGCAAGGTATAGATTTATAGAAATGGGTTAATTTAAGATATAAGAACAGTTAGCAAGAAGCCTGCCACGGCCATACAGTTTATAAGTATTATAAGCATCTGAGTGATTATTTTATATGTGGATTGTGGGACTGTGGGGCTTGGTGGAACCTGGAGAGAAGCCCTCCAGCAACACCAGACCATGAACCATTCTGCCTCTCCCTGTCTTCCATCTCCCAACTCTGTACTCTCCCACCACAATGGTGCCCAACCACCCAGTACCAGTGTGCTTAGTTGGGTCATAGGTGGTGCTTGGTTGAATACCGCCTGACCCAGCTGTAAAGGATGGCACAGAGATTGTGGCTCTCCAGACCCAAAAGTCTAGGGGTGGAGGGTTCCAACTGTGTCCATCACCGATTCAGGCCTGGGTGGAACCATTATCTTTGGAGATGATTCTAGACTCTTTGTTCTTCTTACAGCCTCCAATTGTTATTTTCCTCACTAGGAATTGAACCCAGGGCTTTGTGTGTGGTAGGTAACCACTCTACCACTGAGCTAACCTTCAGCTCTTTTAAAATCCGTATTTTGAGACAGAGTCTCACTCACTAAGTTGCCCAGGCTGGCCTTAAATTCACTCTGTTCTTTAAGCTGGCCCTGCGTTTGTGATCCTCCTGCCTCAGCCTCCCAAATAGTTGGGATTATAGGCCTGCACCATCAGGCTCTGATTCTGTTGCTGGTATTGTTTGTTTTTTATTTTTCATTTTAATTTTAAAGACATTTATTTATTTTTATGTGAATGCGTGTGTGCCTGTATGTAAGAGTCTGTAGAAGTCAGAAGAGGGTGTGGGATCCCCTGGAACTGGAGTAACAGGTGAGTGTGCAGTATCACCTGTAAGAGCAGCAAGTGCTCTTAATGTCTGAGCCATTCATAACCTCCATATTTTGTCTTGTTTTTAAGAGAGAAGTTTTAATTTCTTAGTAAAACTGAGAGAAAGACGCAGTGATGTCTCCCACGCCGTCACTCATGCACAGCCTTCTCTGTTGTCAGTACTCCCGGGTGCATTCATCCTCACTCAGCCTAGGCTGCAGCATTGGCCGATGTCTACAGCTGACATTTGTTTCACTCTTGGCTTGGACAGCACGTAATCACACATAGCCACTAGTGCTGCCAGCCACGGGAATATGAAGTAGGAGTTCAGCTGATATGGGCAAAGCTAGCACCTGGAATAAGTTAAGGACTTTTCCAGAGGAAAACCAAGACTTGAGGAGTCTTGGTGATAGTAGCTTTTGAATGTATAGCTGTATCCTGCCATTAATTTCTTGTGTGCTGTTGGAGTTCCCCCCTTCGACTTTTCCTTCAAGAATTTATAACAGTGTGATTGATCACTGATTGGGCATAATTCTCCTTATACATTTGGGATAATTGGATGGCTACCCCCAGCTGTGTTTACTTTTCATTAACATAAATCTGGCCAGAGCCATTCTCTGGACAAAAGTATTTCAGATAAGATACCCCTTTTCCAAAGATAAATGCAGAGAAACTTTAGTTCATCCCCCTTACAGATAAGAAAAAATATCCACTGGCAATTAAATCCTCAACTCCTTACCTTCACCCCGGGTTATTCATACAAGACCCTAATTTAGGAGACTTATTGCTCACCTTCCTGGGATGATGTTTTAGTCACTTATTAGTTACTGAATTAAGATAGTTATTTCCCATCGACCTAAGGAGATTTCTAACAGGGCATACATGCAGTAGATGCTAAGCTTCGTTTCTTATGCAAAGTAAGTTCTAATTCCTCCTCACCCAGGTGCTATTCCTAGATTTTCTTCTCAACAATTACTCTGAGCGAAAGTGCTTTTACTAACCAAAGGTTACACGCTCTGACTTAGGTTGCCAAGCAACCGAGCACACTCCTCCTCCCTATCTGAAAGCAGCTGCAGCCAGGAGGAGCATATGGGAAAACCAGCGCCAAAGACAGTTTACTTTCTTGTGACTTAACTGACACCTAACACTCCACCTAGCCATTTCTAGATTATAGTTTGAGCACATAAATTCCTTAATTGATCTTAGCCTTTAGTTGACCCTAACAGAATTCTCCTTTAGTCACTCTTCCCTTTTAGGTTGTTAATCTATCTGACAATTACTGAGTTATGTGTGGATCCTTATCACCTCTCTCTGCAACCCTGAAAACTTCTAACCTCGCAATGCATTGGTAAAGAGCATGGTTCGTGTATAGAGACGGGTTTTCCTGTAACACTTGCAAAATTGACTTAGAGAAATAAAGCAAATGGACTAAAGAACTCAGTGTGCTTAGCTTCATTGACGATCTGAGGGATTAGAATCCTCAGATGCTTGGTAGACACTTCCGCAGACCCTGGGAGCAAACAATATAGTCTGGCCCTCTTATTGTTTGTGTTACACTAATATAGTATCACACAAAATATTTTACCACCCTAAAGGTTCTCTGAGCTCTGCTCACTTACGCCATCTCTCCAATCCCCAGCAACTACAGATAACTCTGGTGTCTATAATGTCAGTTTTTCCAGAATATTCATCAGGACATATTTTTTTCTACTAAGCTTTGCTTAGTACTACACTCCTATGTTTCTCAAAGATACTTTCATGGTTGCTTCTTGCTTATTCTTTGTGTTTGGATAACATTCCATTGTTTGGATATACTCAACTTGCTTACACACTCACTTACTGAAGGGTATCTCAGTTGCTTTCAAGTCTTGTCAATTACCCATAAAACTGATACTACCTGCTCGTGGGGGGTTTTATGAGAGCATCATTTTTTTATTCTTTCATATAAATGTCAAGTAATGCAACTTTTTGATCAAATGGTAAGAATGTATGTAATTCTGTAAGATGTTAGCAGCCTGTCTTCTGAAGCAGCTGTACCATTCTGCATTCCTATTAGTAACCAATGAGGTTCTCACTGCTCCAGCCTTTGATACCATCAAGTGTTCTGAAGTTTCGCTGTTCTGGGAGGTGTATGTACAGTGGTGTCTTGCTGTTTTACGCTTCCTGGAGGACATGCGATGGTGAGTGTCTTTCCACATAAAACACTTGCCATCTGCACAATCTTCCTGTGTGAGGTTGTGCCAAGGCCTTTGTCCTGTTTATATTGGATTTTTTTTAACATTGGGACTTAGAAATTATTCATATATGGTTCTGGCACAAACCCAGAAACGCAGGTCAACATTCTGTATTCTCTTGAACAAGGCACCAAGAAATAAAGCCATGCAGTTACAGCCATCTGATTTTCAACAAAGGTACCAGAGACACATGCTGGAGAACAAACAGCCACTTTAGCAAAGGGTGCTAGTGAAACCGGGCAGTGATGCCGAGAACTGAGACAAGCTTCACATCTCTCACCTCAGATAAACAATTCATTAAAAACGAAACAGAAACTTCCGTGTAAGGTCTGAAAGCTTAACATGGCTAGAGGGAACATGAGGAAAACAGTTGAAGATCTAGGCCTCTTTGCGTATTCGGTATCACCCTGGCCATGAACCAAAACATGGGTTTGAAGCCTGCTGTGGCGCCTCATTGTGATGGGTTTGCATGTCCACTTGCCACAGATCAGAAGAACCCGAGTAGGGAGCTGCGCCTGAAGAACTGTCCTGACTGCCTGGCCCATCGTGCCTGCAGCTTCTGCAGGCAGTGCAGATGGGAAGGGTGTGGCCTAAGGAAGACCACCTGCCCTTTGCTCCTTAGGCCTCCCTCCAGCTGCTGCTGCTTCCTTCCCTGATATCAGACCAGCATTTTCAAGTCTCACTGTGGGCTAAGGACCAGTGGCTCTTCAGGAAGTTTCTGGGTCCTGGCACCAGACTGGGACCACTGAGCCACCCTGCCCTGGCCACTGAGTAAGTCCCAGTTGCTGCACCCTGCCCCCTGCCCCTCCCACCCCAGTGAGAGATAGCTATAGGGAGACTCCTCCAACAATTGAGGTATCAGCCTTAAGGACCTAATAACTACCAGGTTCTCAGCTTTGAATTCAAGGGCCATCCATAATGCATAATGAGTTCAAGATTAGCCTGGGCTACCTGAGGCTGAATCTTAAAAAAACAAAAACCAATCCAAAACAATTAAAAATCTTTTTTTGGAATTTTTTGGCATTTTAGTAGACATCCCTACAAAAGGCTTCAACTTGACAACGCTGAAGCACCCCCTAAGTTACAGGACAATATTTCTGTTTCTTTAAAGGCAAACAGTCTCTTCATTGGCTCCACCCTTAGAACTTCCTGACTGACAGGCTTTAGGTAATAAGCAGTTTTGCTTCCTATAGTTGAGCAGCAGGACAGACTCTCAGAGAGACCTTAAACTCTCACCACTTCCTGAAGAAGAAGGTGAGTCTGTCTGGGAAGGGACCTGGAGGAAGGGAGCTGTGAGAGGCATCAGGGGATGGGGCATCTATGGGGGTGTAGGTGGTGTGCCCGTGGCTCCACAGGGAGAGACCTGCTGGGGGGAGTGGTGGTGGTAGAGGAGATAAGGGCCGAGGAGAGGAATTAGCTTGCTGCGGTTCCAATCTGCCTGTAGGTAGCTGTGGCACAGGACACAGTGTAGCCTGACACTCTTCACAGAAATTTCTGTGTCTCCAAGGCAGGTTCCTCAGACCTGGGAGACAGCTCAGATCATCTAAGTCACTTTTCTTGCCTCAGAAAGTCTGAGGACCCTCTTAGCTGCCCAGGTCATCCTGGGCAGAGGAGAGTTAGAATTCAGCGTGCTGACTCTTCCCACTGTACAATAGACAGATCTGTATGGACAGTTGTGTGGATCTGTGAGCATGGGGCAGGGTGGAGGGAGCTATCAATGCCGGATTAGCTGCTCTGAAGGCACAACATGGACAAGCCTGCAGCTGTGGCTCAGGGCCCCTGTTTTGCTCCCTGATGCTCTTTTCCTTTATGACTGTATATCTGTAGCATCTGTAGCACCGCCTTGAAATCTGAGGGGATGATGCCTCCAGCAGTTCTTTCGTTATTCAGATTGTTTTAACTGTCCTGGGTTTTTTGTTTTGTTTTGTCTCTCTGTGTGTTTCTTTTTTATTAACATGAGATAAATGAACGTATTTCTGACTTCAATATGGTGTTTAAAGACACACATGAAACTGTGTCCTGGTCAAATCAGGAGAATGAGCCCTTCCACGTCCTTACTGTTTCTTATGTTTGCAGCCTTAGAACGCTTCTCATAGTTCTTCATAAAACATATAGTAAGATGTTGGGCATTACAGTCAGCCCACTATGTGCTGGGCTTTCAAATACTTGGCACAGCAGAGGTTTGGGTGCACTTAACTCTCAGACCTGGCATTGGGCATGGTACCTGTTCCAGTGCTGCAAGAAGGCTGGTAGCAGGAGTAGAAATACCATTTCTGTGCTATCACAAACAGTTTAAATGGCATCCAGATTATCAGGGTTTTAAAAGTATGCTGGGGGAGGTGTCAGGGGGTGGTGGTGGTGGTGGTGGTGGAGATGCTTATGAGATGGCTCAGCATGTAAAGGCACTTCCTGTGCAAGCCTGACAACCGGGGTTCAATGCCCAGAACCCATGTGAAGGTGGAAAGTGGGAGCCAACCCCACAAGGTCATCCTTTGACCTCTATAGGAACACTGCAGCATGCACGAGCCCCTGGGATTTCCCTGCAGAATCACATGGAGCAGCATTCTTGTGTTTAATTTCTCTAGTTCTTCCTTTGTAGTGCTTCTGCTCTCTGTCTCTACAAGGATACACAGAGATAACAGAACACTGCAAACAGTTAGAGAGGGATGGGGAAGAAGAAAGCATTGGAGCAGTTCCCAAGTTTCTAATAGGCAATTTCTCTCTTTCCCTTCCTTAAGATCTGTCATTCCTGATCTTCAGAGCTGGTTCCCCTCAACATGGCTGCTGAAAACACCGAGGTAAGGCTCATTCTGGTCGGGAAAACTGGAAATGGAAAGAGTGCCACAGCAAACACCATCCTTGGGAGACGTGAATTTGATTCTAAGATTTCTGCTGATGCTGTTACTAAGACCTGCCAGAAAGCCTCCAGGGAATGGGAGAGGAGAAACCTTGTGGTGGTTGACACTCCCGGGCTGTTTGACACCAAGGAGACCATGGAAACCACCTGCACAGAAATCAGCCGCTGTGTCCTGTACTCCTGCCCTGGGCCTCACGCCATCATCCTGGTTCTGGAGCTTGGACGCTTCACCGAGGAAGAACAGAAAACTGTTGATCTGATCAAGGGTCTTTTTGGGGAGAAAGCCATGAAGTACATGATCGTTTTGTTTACTCGAAAAGACCAGCTGGAGGACCAGAGCCTTGATGAATTTTTAGGCCAAGCAAATGAAAAGCTAAAGAATATCATCTTGCAGTGTGGGAAACGCTACCTGGCCTTTAATAACAAAGCAGTAGGGGCCGAGCAAGAAAACCAAGTACAGCATCTGGTAGAACTGATAGAGGAAATGGTGGGGGGAAACGAGGGCTCCTACTTTTCTGAAAAGATATATGAGGATGTAGATAAAAGGCTGAAACAATGTCTAAAGAATCTGGAGGAAATTTATGATCAACAATTCAAGGATGAAATCCAAAGAATAGAATATCAAGCAGAAAAAGAAAAGAAGGCACAGATTGATTCTGCAAAGAGAAATTATGATGAGAAAATGAGAAACATTAGGAAAGAGGCAGAAGAGAATATATTTATGTATATTTTCAATAAGATAAGAGAAATGCTTTCAGAACTTTGGGACAAGTTGAGATGGTGAAGTAAATGACATTTGTTCCTTGACAGTTTCATACATGTGTGCATATAGTATGTTCTGATTACATTCATGTCTTTTGTTTGGGTATGTTTTTTGCTTTGTGATCCACTGAGTTTAACTAGGTTCATGTGTGTGAGAACAGGCTCAGAACAATCTGTAAGAGCATGGTGGGCTCACCAGGAGGAGCACAGTGGAAGGCAATGACTCTTCCTCTCCCAGAATCCATCCGTGGTTAACTCCTCAGCAGGGCGGCGTAGGTTCCCATGAGCTCCTCCTCCATCCAGGCCCATGGCTGATGTGAGCTTGTGACTGCAATGACTGTTTCTTGAGGACACACGCAGGCACACACACACACACACACACACACACACACACACACAATTTAAACTATTAAAAAGGACAAGTCATTAGGAAAGCTGGCTGGAAGCTCTGTGGTGGGCCCCCGAGTTCCACCACACGTGACGGAGAAGACATGGATGATCCTGTGGAATGAATGCTCAGTGCTGGGAAGTACAAGATTTTTGTGAGATGTTCTAATCTTCAGGAAAAAACAAAAAGCAAAACCAAAAATCCTTCACACCACCTTCCTGGGAGAAGATGAGGTGCAGGTCTCTGAATTAGGAGGATGGAGGAGATTACAGGGTCCAGTTTCCACTAACCCTAACTTCGTTCTCTAGTAACCTGGCTCTTTACAGCTGCCATTTCTGAACTTGAAGGGCCCTTTCTTTGGGCTTCAGTCTCTGCCCCCACCTCTAGCCTTTCTGGGCTGTGAGGGAGGTCAGTGCACTCTCACCCCCCCTCCCCCTTCCCCCCATCTCCCAGGAGTTTGGCCAAGTATCTCATCCCTGATAATGCTTTACTTTTATACCCTGCACAGCCCTGTGGTCCCCCTAGTAGACCTGTTGGATGTGAGGCTGCCTGTGGTGTATAACAGCTGCGAGACCAGAGTGTTACTGTGCAGTTGATTTTCCATAAGCCAACTTACCTTGACTTTGAAATCTCTGATGCGCTGTTAAATGGAACTAGAACACAGCCGAACAAAAATGCACAAAGTACTTCCACATAGTTACACAGACCCCCTCACGGCCATTCCTGCATTCTCAAGGATATTTTAAATAACTATTGCTTCAAAACAGCTAATAATAAAAATGAGTTTGTTTTTATTAATGAAGTTGGTTACTCTGGTTCCTCTCCCTCCACCTTCTCCTCTTCCCTCCAACCGTGGCCACTCCCTCTTCTTCCCAACAAAATTTCCCTCAAATTTATGACATTTGGTTTTGCTTTATGTCTCACCGAATTTAGCTAGGACTGCTCGTGTGACCGTGAACTTTGGACAATACATTAGAGGCCAATGCGTTCAGCAGTGGGGACACAACTGGAGAGTCTGCTCCCCACCCCCCATGCCAATTCCGGAATCTGTTAGGGGAGTGGTGGCATTAGTGGTCTCTCCCAGCTGTGAACTTCATGCAGCTTATTTTAACAATTTTATATGGGGGAAGGAGGTGTTTGCCTGCATGTATGTGTGTGCCTGGAGCCCACAGAGGCTGTAGAGGGAGTCCGATCCCCTGAAACTGAAGCTGGAGATGGTTGTGAGTCACCACGTGATGGCTGGGAATCCAGCCTGGGTCCTCAGAGGAGCAGCCACTCATCACCACTGGTCCATCTCTCCAGGGCAATTTTGCTACCGTTTATAACAAGCTTGCTAAGTATTTTACTAATAGTTTAGGCTTTAAAAACCCTATTACAGTGATTCTAAAGGTAGAGACGCTGTACACACACCACACCTGCTCAAGATAGAGCTGTGAGTGGCCGGCCATAACTAGGTCCCTTCTCCAGGTGGAAGGCAGAGGAAAGCTCTGTTTGGGGTCAATACCAGTCCAAAGTGACACTCAGGGAGAACACTGAGCAGAGTCTCCTTTCAAAATCTATTCAACCTTTCCACATATATAGAGGGAGATCCTCACATCTCCACACTATGATTATCATAAAACCTGCCATCTGCATGTTTTATAAACCCAGGGGACCACTGGCTCTGGGTAGCTCTGGGAGTTTAGTATGCTGAGATCCCCCTGAGATGTTTCTCCATTTCCCAACCTCTCCCCATAGCCTGTTTTGGGTACCATCTCATGTTAATGGCAGGATGCATGGCCCCTCCATCTTGCCTTTCTCCCCTGAAAAGTGACCACAGCTCATGTGATGAGTCAGAGAGGAGCTGAAGGAGAGGGGACAGGAAATGTCTGTGGCTGATGAGGGGAGGAAATGTTTCAAGGGCACAGATACATTTCACACCAACTGTCTTACTCTCATAAGAGAGGCTTCTGGGAAATGGGCTGACATGAACTGTTGAGTCCACAAATTCTCAAGAATTGTAATGAAAAATCACCCTCTGGTCTCTTTGCTGTAAAATTTCGAGTGAGCTGGACACAAGATTTGTATGAGTATGAGAAGGGAATCTGCAGATTGAAGAAAAATGACAGTTTTGTGTCTGGACATTTCTGCTCCCCGCATCCCAATTACTGAAGACTCCACATTCCTGGGCCCCTTCTGTGCACAGTACAGTACATGGAACCCGAGAGGAGACTTTAGAAGGCCCGTGGTGAAGAATGCACTTTGTCAGGGCCTATCTCAGCACCCACCTGGTTGCTTGGTGATTCTGTGTCGTTACCAGATTTCACAGGTGAACCTGAGGAATCCAAGTTACTGAATAATAGACTTTCCTGAAGGTCGGAATTTTTCCTAATCTGACTCAATACTCCTAGCCCTGCCCCCACATCACTCTTGTTCATTGTGTTAGGGATCCAAAACCTAAACTCTTCCTGCTGACCTCTGCCAGAGTAACTACCCAGAGCCGGTGGTCCCCTGGGTTTATAAAACATGCAGATGGCAGGTTTTATGATAATCATGGTGTGGAGATGTGAGGATCTCCCTCTATATATGTGGAAAGGTTGAATAGATTTTGAAAGGAGACTATTGTAAGCTGACGAGTTATGCATGGACCCTGAGGCAACCACCGAAAAAGGGTTGTCCTAAGTAAGTCAACACGAAGAAAGAAAAGGGAGATCACACAAGAGTCATCCCCAAAGTAGGCAGAATATAGAGAAAGGGAGAGAAGAACAGATTGGACAAGGAGAAAACTGGTAGCTGATAATCTTATATTGTTATTTTATATGTTCACATAATGAGTTTAGATCAGTTCTATCCCCATTACCCTCCCCTCTAATTCCTTCAGCCCTCTCCTCTCCTCCCAACTTTATGTCCTCTGTCTCCCCCAAAATGGCCTTGTCATATCCAGCACATTCTGTTTTCCTGCACATGTCCATTGCCTCCAGTCTTCCCATGCCCTCGTCTGCAGTGATCTCTGGGCCTGGAGGGGAGGAGGTATGATATAGATGTCCCATTGAAACCCAACCGTATCATGAATTATATGAAGTATAAAACATGTAAATACCCAAATTGAAAGTAGATTCTACGATAGGCTATTGACAGGAGCCCCTCCCCATTTCTTAAGTAAGTTAGCACACAGGAGATTCAGTATCACTGCCAACCGACTCATTGTCAGTCATATTTACAGAACTTTCCGCCAAACAGGAGCAGACGGCCCATTGTTTATTAAGATGAATCGTATGTAGTCAACAAAAGTCCCAGTGATGGGAAAAGTGACTGATAACCATGAAATACTTTGTTTCTCACTTGATTTATCACATCCCAAGTGTCCAGTAGCTCCCAGGGGCCCATAGGTTCTATATTAGATGCCACAGAATAACAGGACCTCAGAAAGTTCTGCTGTGCAGCTAGCTAGGAAGAAGGGTGGGTCCCTTGACTACTCTGGTTTCCAGGGCTCCTCCCCGACTTCCTCTCTGCTGCTCTCTTCTGGCTTCAGCAATGCTGTGAAATCAGAGGAGGCCACAGGACCCAGATTTTCAGGTGAGACTGGGAGTGCTGAATTTGGTGAGGAGGGGGCTGCTCTGTAGGCTGTGTCCTGTAACCTCCTGGCAGACTTGCCCTTGGAAATCGTACTTATTGGTCCCTGTTTCCTGCCTGCTAATTTTAGGCTGTAATCCGCGGTGAAGGCTGCTGAGTCTTACAAATTCATGTATGCTTCAGGGTCCGTTGCCTCAAGGATACTTTCTTTTTCTTTTTCTTTCTTTCTTCCTTTTTTTTTTGTTTTGTTTTGCTTTTAGAGAGAGGGTCTCTCTATACAACAGCCCTAGCTGTCCTAGAACTAGCTCTGTAGCCCAGACTGGCCTTGGTCTCACAGAGATCTGCCTGCTTCTGCCTCCGTGTGCTGGGATTAAGATTAAAGGCTTTCGCCACCACTGCCCAAAAGGATACTTTTCTTATGGAGAAAGTATACCTTCAATGGTCAAAAAATGTTTAACTTGACTCTTTCAGAGAGAGAATGGATGAATTAGTTTGGTGGGAGAAGGAGAGAAGAAGGTAGGGATGAGGGTCCCTAACATGCATGGCATGTGTCCTCATCCAAACTGGCATACAGGTCAGGGGCCTCACTGGCTGTTACCTTTTTCCCTCAAGCTGCTCCCCAGGGAAGCTGCCTTGTGGGGAACCATTCTTTCCTAGGTTCATGGAAGAGTTGAGCTCTAAGTTACACTCATTGTGACTAAGTTCTGAAGCCAGTAATGGATGTGTGTTCTAGGCTGAGGGAGGAGGACTTAGTCAATGAAATCAGCACCCACAGAAGCACAGGTCCTGGGTAGACAAATGAATTGGGTCTGAAGACACCACCCCCCAAAGTCTTGAGAAATTTTACATGGCTGCTTCCAGGTCTCCTCGAATCACCAGTATCAACTCTGTTAAGAGTCAAATGGTTTCCCTTTCTGGTCTATGAGAGGCTGTCTTCTACCCACCCAGTCCTCAGACATAAAGGAATGAGCCTCTTTCAAAACAAGCATCTGGCTTTTCTGCTTCACGTCTGTAATTGATGGCTCTCTGTGTGGAGACTCTGTCCATAAGAAGGAACATTCCAGCCTGTCCTGGAAACAGTCAGCTCCAGGTTTCTCAAAAATTTCATGGGTAATAGATAAAGGACGCATTCAAAACGAGCTGAGTGTTTCTTCATGTCTGTGTATTGGATAACAAGGAAGTGATTGCTATATGCACAGGTCACTGTCGATCAGAGGGAGGCAAAGAACCAAGACAGTTAATTTGCTTATTTAGTGAACCGAGACCCACCCTTTGTTCAGTGCTGTGCCTGTCCCCAGGAAGTTTCCTGTCGTATAGTCTAAGAGGAGAGAGTAAATGTTAGAGGATCATCTCATGTTACAACCCTGTCCTCGATGAAGAAAGGCGGCTATGCAGTTACAGCAAGAGCAAGCGACCTGCAAGGCCTGCATCTGGGGCCAGTGCAGCTGCAGCAGAGAGGTTGGACAGGGCCTCTCTGGAAGCAGGGGCTAAGCAGCCCCCAGGGAGGGGAAGTTCTGAAGAGGCTTAGGAGATGAGAGGACCCTGGGAACATAGGAGAGGTCAGTGTCTTCAGAGAAAGATGATCATGCAGGGACTTCCGGACCTTTCCTCTAGTTCAAACCATCTTCTAAAGGTACACAAAAGCCACTAGGGAATTCAAGTAAGAAAAGTAAAATGCAATTTTATTTTTTTCCTTAAAATATTTTTATTTTATGTGTGTAAGTGTTTTGCTTTCATGTAAATGTATTGTATATACATACATACATACATACATATACATACATGTACCATGTGCATGTGTGGTTCTCCAGGAGGTTGGAAGGCCCATCAGATCCTCTGAAACTGGAGTTAGAGACAGTTGTGAGCTGCCATGTGGGTGCTGGAAACTGAGCCCTGGCCCTTGGCAAAAGCAGCAAGTGTTCTTAGCATCTCAGCCACCTAGTCTTCCTCAGGTCCAGGCATTCCTAGAAGAGAGTGCTTAAAGCCATTAACACTGATAAAGGAAAAAGGAAAGAGGAATGTGAAAGTGGTCTTTGTTTAATTTTGTTTTGTTCTGGGGTTTTTTGTTTGTTTGTTTGTTTTTTGTTTTTTGTTTTTTGTTTTTTTGAGACAGGGTTTCTCTGTGTAGCTGTCGCTGTCCTGGAACTTGTTCTTCAGACCAGGCTGGGCTTGAACTCATTGAGATGCACCTGCCTCTGCCTAGTGATTGTTGGGCCTAAAGGTGTGCATCACTACCGCCCAG